GACGGCTCACTGCTGCAAAGATCAGAGACACATGCGAAGGGCGGCGCAGAAGTCAACCACATATGTTATCTAGTCACTGTTGCAGCAGGGCAGCTGTACTAAGACTAGAATGATAGAGTTGTATAAATAGACTACCACGGCAACTCAGTAAAGAGAGTTCAGATTTGCCATCTCATATACAGGGCTCCGGCCAACGCTGGTGTCTCTGTTGTGTGTGTATGCTCTGTTCTCCCTTCTTTTTCAAGCTCTAGCCATAGTGTGTGGGACGGACAACGCTTGTTCGTGGTCGGCACGGCTAGTGGGTGCTCGGCAACACTAGCGGGTGCTCGACAAGACCGGTGAGTGGGCAACTCACCTGAGCCGGTGATCCTGTGGGCCAACAGAGGCTAGCCGGCTGATTTGTACTCGAACGAGTGGCGATGGGAGTAGTATACGAAGAGGCCGTAGTACTGCTGTATGTATACGAAGCCATCCTCTAGTTAATGGCCGCACTCCATCCTGTAGTTAATGCCCGCACTGGTAACGAAGAGACGAGGGCAAACTCGTCTAATCTGAGGCGCATGCAGTGGAAACGAACTGCTTTTTGAAAACGATCACCCTCAGAACGAACTCATTTCTGGGATGGAGGGATTAATATCTATATGCTCGATAATGTGGTGCTTCTATTGTAATCTGAGTTCACTTGTTTACGGATTGGAGCAAAGTGGGATCATACAACCTCTGGTGACTGCAATTCAGTTTGATGTTACGCCCCCCATTTCAGATTGTAAGTCGTTTTACCTGTTCTAGATACATAGTTTTTACTATGTATTTAGAACTCTGGACATAATGTATATCTAGGTGCAATGCAAAAATCATGTATCTAGAAAAGGCAAAACAACTTACACTTAGGAACGGAGGGAGTATAACTTAACTGTAACATGAGTCATACTGTTTGCGTACCAGTATCTGTGAGCTATAATACTTGTTATCTACTTCCTGAGGTATTTCCTCTATCTTTGATTCTATGGTGCAGGACATCAACTGGTGATATCACAAGTCTCAGACTAATCACTGCAGTGAAAACCCCTTATTTGCCAGATGGAAGATTCGATCTTGAATCATATGATTCTTTGATAAACATGCAGATAGAGGGTGGTTCTGAAGGTGTAATAGTTGGTGGAACGACAGGAGAGGGTCACCTAATGAGCTGGGATGAACACATTATGCTTATCGGGCATACTGTTAACTGCTTTGGCACTAGAATTAAAGTGATAGGCAACACAGGAAGTAATTCTACCAGAGAGGCTGTTCACGCAACAGAGCAGGGATTTGCTGTTGGCATGCATGCAGCTCTCCACATCAATCCTTACTATGGGAAGACCTCAACTGAAGGATTGATCTCTCATTTCGAGGCTGTTCTGCCGATGGGTCCAACCATCATTTACAATGTGCCATCCAGGAGTGGCCAGGATATTCCTCCTCAAGTTATTGATGCACTTTCAGGTTATTCAAACCTGGCAGGAGTGAAAGAATGTGTCGGACATGAGAGGGTCAAGTGCTACACTGACAAAGGTATAACAATATGGAGTGGTAATGATGATGAATGCCATGATTCTAGGTGGAAATATGGTGCCACTGGAGTTATTTCTGTAGCAAGCAACCTTGTTCCTGGTCTCATGCGTAGTCTCATGTATGAAGGGGGGAATGCATTGCTAAATGAGAAGCTGCTGCCTCTGATGAAATGGTTATTCTGCCAGCCGAATCCCATCGCACTCAACACTGCTCTGGCTCAGCTTGGGGTGGCAAGGCCTGTTTTCAGATTGCCGTATGTTCCTCTTCCTCTTGAGAAGAGGATTGAGTTTGTCCGGATTGTTGAAGCTATTGGACGGGGAAACTTTGTGGGACAGAAAGAGGCACGTGTTCTTGACGATGATGATTTTGTTTTGATCAGCAGGTATTAGTAAGCGAGCTTGATAGTCCTATGTATCTTGATGAATAAAACTAGCAGCGTGGTTTGAGGATTTTTCAGATTTTTGTAAAGAAATAAAACTACTGTCATGTTATGAATCCTGATTTGGCTTACAGTTTTCTGTGGATCTAGGTGGCCATTTCTTATGCGGAACCGGCCTAGATCCATTAATAAGAAATAAAGAGATGCATCGCATCACTTATTATTATGTTCTTCCTATACTTACAGAAAAATACATTTCTTCTGGCTAGTGTATATAATAATATCCTAATCCATCTGTATGACCCCAAGTCCTGGTAACGAGAGCGTCGTTTAACCATTCCTAGTCTGTTCTCTCCTCTTCCTCCTTGTCCGCGGAGTGGCTCTTGGTGATGGAGGACACGAGGGACAGGGGCGCCTGCTTGGCCCATCGCTTGATGTCGTGCACCCTCTTGCTGGCCCTCTTCCCCCTGCCATTCGGCTTCACCGCGCCGTTCTGCCGGTCCTTGGTGATGGCGATGGCCAGGTCGTTGGGGAAGAGCGATCGCCAGACGAGCGCGTGCAGGAGCGTCGACACGAGCAGCAGCGACACCATGGTCGACGACATGAGGGAGAGGCTCAGCGCGAGGGCCCTGCTCGCGAAGCACGGCACAGCCTCGGCGTACTTGACGGTGGCCAGCGACGCCGTGGTCATGGGGAACGTGTACGACCACCACGCGAGGGAGAACCTGCATGCGGTGACACATACGCGTCCACACAGGTAGCGGTCAGTTTGGTCGGCCGCGCCGACGATCGAGAAGTCGAACGGGAAGAGCTAGCTAGGACGACTCACCCGAACCCCCGGAAGAAGTTGATGCGCACGACGAGGGACAGGTACAGGAAGATGGCCATGAAGAAGAAGGTGCGTGCCACGGCGTCGAAGCTGCCGTAGATCGCGGCCCAGGCGAGGCTGGCGGCCGACGGCGTGGCGATGAACATGGAGTACACCGGGTGCAGCTCCATGGGCAGCGCCTCGTTGGTGGGCAGCCGCTGGTACAGCGTGACGAACACGACGATGTAGTGCGCGACCCCGATGGCCCACAGGAGCTTGCCGGCCTCCGCCCACCCGACCCTCGCCGCCAGTATGGCCCCGACGAAGTTGCCCACCACCGAGAGGTGGGACGACGGGTTGGCCACCTTGCACAGCCGCCGCTTGCCGCCGGACAGCCACTGCCCGTATATCTTGAGCTCCAGCGCGAAGAGCGGCAGGACGAAGGCGCACCACACGGCCGGGTGCAGCCGCTCGGGAGCGTAGGCGCGGGGCAGGCCGATGGTGACGAACATGGCCGCGATCCACGGCGCGAAGAAGAAGTTGACGCGGACCGGGTGGAAGTACTCGCGGCGGATGGCCTCGAAGTAGAAGACGCACTTGAGCACGTAGGTGACGGACGTCGCGACGAGCACGGCGACCGCCAGCAGCCATAGCGCGACGTTGATCATGGGCGTGACGTGCAGGAAGCGCATCGCCGGGCTCGCCGCCAGCGCGCCCCACAGGATGGCCTGGCTGCCGAGGCCCAGGCACACACCGAAGCAGCCGATCGGGAACCGCAGGAGGAACGGCCACACCTCGTCCTTGGGCAACAGGATGTCCTCGTAGTCCTAGAGAAACCATGTCCACGTTTCATTCAAGTGTCAGTCAGACGTGCATGCATACAGGATACATCGTGACACGAATGCTAAGAACGAAGAAAGAGACTACTTACGCGGACTTCGTCGAGCTCAGGGCCGCGGAGTGCGGCGAAGTAGCGGCCGGCGGGGACGCTCTTGTTGAGCGGATCCTCCACCGGCCTGCCGGCGGACTGATCCTCGACGTGCGTCGGCAGATCTAGGTCGGACTCCCTGATCCTCGTCGGCAGCAGCGAGTTCTGCTTGCTCAGCGTCGACTTGGTCCGGAACATGCTGAAGTCACCACCCCTGCGCGCGGCGCCGTCGCCGCCGGCCTGGCCCAGGCCGCCGCTATGGTTGAGCACCCCGAGGCTCCTACCACTGCGGGGGAGGGCGCGCTGGCCCCTTCCGCCACCGTTCCTCCCCCCTCTGTCCATGCCCAGCACCGTCACGCCGCTGCCGAGAGAGACCTGCCTGCTGAAGGCCCTCTGCATCGGCGGCGGCCTCCGGTCGCCCCGGACGTTGAGCGGCCCGCTCATTGCCATCTGCCTCGAGTCCTCGGGCGCGGCCGCGCTGATGTCCGCCGTTTGCTGCTGGCCCGTGGAAGAGGACGAAGGATCGGCTGCCATTTCTGCAGCTAAGTGATGATCGAGGTGCGAGCACAAGCGCCGATCGAGTTATGTTATGTGCGGCGGCGCCAATATATGCTCGCTCGCGGCAGTATGTCAACATGACCGGTGCTTTCACGTGCACCGGCCGGCGCCACCGTGCATACGTGGAGAAGGCCGGGGCAAGGGCAGGCCATTGCTGTCCAAGTGGTTGGTCGATGGGGAGGAGATGGATCGCTGCTGGCCATGCCTTTTTGCTCCAAAGGAAGAAGCCAATGGCCAAGTCACGAGATGTGGAATCCATTGGCTGTGATCTGCTCCTACCGCGCTGGTCGTGAGATCTTCAGAAAGTTGAGCTTCATGCATGCCCTCATAATAGATGTTACCGTGATACACTGTATGCATAAGAGGCCGAGATTCGAGAGGAGCCGATGGCCTACTGCTGACTACCGGAGGTTGGCATTCAGCATTAAAAGGCTCACGGGCCTGTCGCCAGTTTGCCATGCAAGCGTCCTCGGTGGATTCCAGCCACAAGTACGCAAAGTCAGAGGCAGCAAAGGGAGGCTAGTAGGACAACTCAGCAATCCAGATGTACGTGGAATAGCGATTCCGCTTGGCTCAATAGAATGTGTTCCAATATGAAGCAAAAGCATTAACACGTATAAAAATGTATGTATTCTCGAACCTTTAAAGTTCAGAAGATGCCTGTTATTGATTATATGGGGTAAAATAGCATCAAACCATGAATCACGTCAAGGCCTGTTATTGCTTATGAGATAAAATAGCATCAAAATCATGAATCACGTCATGTGGTTTTCTTAATCATCTTGCAGCATTTCTGAATGAAGATGCATACATGTAGTGCTGCAATATTTGTAGTTGTATCGGTGGAATGGCACCTTGCCAGCCAAGGAAGCGAAACAGCACGAACACGAATTGTCATCTGGTACTGCCCTCTGTGCGGAGCAATTTGTTGCTGCTGCACCTGACGCGCCGGCTCCGGCAGATTGGGCAGCGAGAGCTGCAAGTCTTCTCTCTGCTGCAGCTGCTCTCTTCTCTCTTTCTTCAGCTTGTTTTCTCTGTCGTTCCTCCTGATTAAAAAGTTCAGCAACGAATAAATTTATAATCATGTGACGTGTGTAGTTGGAAACTACTACTCAGCAATTTGCCAGGCGTGAAATCGTTCCTCTTTAGAACACATACCTCCTTTGCTATAAGTATTTGCTGTGGCGTCTGATGCTTTGGTTTAAGGCCTGGCACAGATGCAGTTCTGTTGGCCATTTGGCCGCTTGAAGTGCCTTTAACATCAGCTTGTGATTGTGATGCTTCAGCCTACAGTTCAATAGTACAAAATGGCATAAATAAGAAGGTAAATAGAAGTCATTGAAAGGCAATTTAATAACTAGTAAGCAGTAGTGCTTGCACTTCGCTAACCAATAAATAAAGAAAAATGTGGATTAGTGAACTAAGCACCACATTTTTTTGGGCAACCAGTGACACTAAACACCATTAAACTATGTACATCATTCATGAGCAACAAGGATAAATTGGATTTATACAACCAGATGCATTTGTAATTCTGAATTCAGTACTAACCTTAGCCTTCTCCTTTTCCTTCTCTTCCTTTTCTCTTGCTTTTTTTAATTTCTTCAATTCCTTTGCACGTGCTTTCCTTTTGGCATCCTTGTCTGCCTATAGTAACATACACAACCATGTTCAGTGCATTTACTTAATGAATTTTACAATGGAAAACTTATAAATTCACGAAACGAGGGCACAAAAAACACACTTGTTTCGCAGCTTGTGATTCTTCCATTTCTTTTGTTAGTGCACTAGGTACATCTGCGGCATGCCAATCCCATTTGTCGAGGTTGAGCGCCATAAATCTTCTGAATGTATTTCTAACTTCCTTATCTGAAGCCAGCGAATAAGGTGTCTTTCCTCTTGCATCTTTTATGCAAGGATCCAAACCCTGCTCAAGTAACTCCAGAGTCAGCTCAGCATTGCCAAACTTTGCTGCCTCATGAAGAGGTGTTATTTCGTTCTTAGATGATGGTATGGTTGCTGCTTCATTCTTATTCAACAATTCCAAACTGGCAGACAAGTCCGAAATAGATTCCTCAGGGTCTGCGGCCACTTCCTTCTTTTTTCCTTGACTTTGTTCAATATTTTTCACACTTCCAGCATCAGGTAAGGTTTCATCTGTGGTTGAACATTCCATCTCATAGTAGAGTTGTGTTAGGTTACAATATACCCGCTTAGCTTCCTTCAAGGTGGGACGATGGACAGTCAATGGAACTGGACGAATATCACAAGACTGAATTACTGACCGAGTCTTCTCCTCATCGAAGAGCATCTGGCGGTTCTTCGATGGAGCATAAATGAAGGCACAAACACATGTCTCAAAGTATGACTTCCATGAAACAATTAATTCTTGAACTTCCTGCAATAAGACAAACAAAAACGAAAGACACCTAAAACAATAAGCCAATGGGACATTTACTTTTAATGAGCACATGAAAGTCAACAAGCACCAAATTCAACACCTTTTTGAGTGCTGCTTCATTATAGCGCCGTAGAGAAGAGCCTGCTGAGTGTGCAACTTTTCCAGTAGCATCTTTTCCAGATTGCCTCTTCCCAGCCTTTGCTCTTACGACATACCTAAAGAAATACATGGGCAAATAAGAACAATTTGTCACTAACATGGAAACAAAGTATTGCCAGTAAAAGGTACAGGCAACAAAGCAGTCAATCTAGCCAGCCGCAAAGTTAAAACTATGCCCATCAGCAAAGGAAATATGTTACGGAACACAAAAGAGGAAGTAGGAAGTCATTTCTGTTGATAGCAAGATTCGCAGCTATATTTACATTGAACACAGGAAAGTAGAAGCTTTCTGCAGCACTCAAAAGACTCATTTTTACTGGTTGCGTGCATCTAGCACATACATAATAGAACGCTGCTGTCACCTGAGATTCCAAGGATATCAAGTAATAATGCAATATGCCTCACAAGTTCTTATGCGTAAAAGTTGAAACTGGCAATGTTGTTACCTATGAAATGTTTTATGAGCTACAATGGAATTTCCATCAAAACGCACCCAGCAAAATGTCCACCGCTTGTTAGTATAACAATTCTCAAATGTGACACGTCACGAGGTTCACAAGTCAAACGCTTCACCCTATTTATCATCTCCTCCTCCGGTACACAAGATGCATTATCCATCTGACCAGACTTACAATCAATTAATGGTTCTTCATGTTCTTTCAACAGCATGCATCTATAGATAGAAATCGTGTCACCCGATGCACGGCGAAAGTAAAGTTTCTTCCTGAATTCTTCCTTGCCTTTAACTGAGAGTACACGTTCTGATGCAGGTCCATTTTCTTGTTCGTCCTCTGAACCAGAGACACTAGATATCTCCAAATCATCAAACAGAGAATCAGAATCTGCTTTGTCTAGGTCCTCTTCCGTTATAATAGTTTTACCAGCAATGCTCAACTTAACCTAATAGAATGCCAAAAAAAGATGCAAGAGGATCAATGAGATGAGACATAAGTATGATATACTTGGTACATTATGAAGGATATTTTGCAGAGAACCAAATTGGACCATATGGAAATAAAACAAGAGAACAGTTACTCATTTTCATCCAAAGCTCTATGCAAGAATATAACTGGTTATTTTCTAAGTATGTAAAAACTGGCAACTAGAAAAAATGCATATAATCTTCCAGCAGCACAGTACAGTCCAATGCAACAATTCTAATCTCTAATCTGACAACGAGTTATGTTCAGGTGCTTGAATGTATGGTTTAGGAGCTTCAGTACAATGGCAACGAGTTATGTTCAGTTTTTGGGACATGATTAAGCTCTTCCAAGGCGTATCTATATGATGTGATCAACATAAGAGACTCAATTAGTAATAAGCCTCCATAAATTGTTTCTCTCCATTCTCCAATAAGTAATCAAGGGACTCAAGTATTCTACCTACATGCAAACATTTGATAATTGAGCATTCCATCTTCTAAATAATTCCAGCTATGATCAGCGCTGGCTGCTAAAGAAAAAGTTACGCGGAGCCCTTAAGACTGTATCAATCAATACGGTAAAGTACATACATTCCAAAAAATCAATCAGAAGTAGTCAAGTGAAGAGAAAGGGCACATATAGATACGTTGAGGCGGTGCAGGTCGGATTTGAAGTGCTCGCGCTGCTCCTGTAGCGACTCGAACTCGGCGGCACAGGTGTTGCACGTCCACCTGGACCCCGCAGCCTCTGAAAGTTGCTGCTGCTGCTGAGTCGGCGGCGGTTGGGAGCGTTCGGACGGTTCCACCGCGAAGGGGGCCGTGGAGGGGTGAGCCCGGAGGAGGACGGATGAATCGAAGAAGTCAGAGGGGAGTTCGAAGAGCGAGCGAGGGGGCCTCTTCTCTGGCGGCGGCGCCGCCATCTAGGTGGTGGAGGAACCGGCAGCGGGGAGAGGAGGGCGTGGATCCGATGTTCCGGACTTCCGGGTGGCGTGCGGTTCGTGAGTTTCTTTTGTGAGTTGTGACTACTGACTAGGAGACGGCGGGTCCGCGTCGGTCATCCAAAGGCTGCACAGCACCGTTTAGATTAGGGCCTCGTTTGATTGCAAATTTTTGCAAACTGGATACTGTAGCACGTATTATTTGTATTTGATAAACTTTGTCCGATTATGGACTAACTAGGCTCAAAAGATTCATCTCGTGATTTACAACTAAACTGTGTAATTAGTTATTTTTTTTATCTATATTTAATGCTCCATGCATGCGTCAAAAAATTGATGTGATGAAGAGAGAGTGAAAAAACTTGAAATTTGGAGGTGATCTAAAGAAGGCCTAGGGGGAATTCCCTGTCCGCCATTATAAAAGATCGCAATACCCCGTATGTCGCTGGAAAAGTTCAGCGGTGTTCAACGTCACTACTCCAACTTTTTCGTATCCTCTATGTCACTTTCGTCAGTTTGAACTCTAACGCCGTCAAACTGCAGGTGTGAAAAGACGAAAATACCCTTAAGTTTAAATATGTTATTAATTTTTTTTAGCATCTTAACGACTTCAAATAAAAAAAACTCAAATATAGAAAGTTGTAGATCTCGTCGAGATCTATAATTTTTATATAAAAATTATTTTTATTTAATTCCGCAAAAAAATGATTTTTCTAAGAAATATTAATCATATAAAATCATTTTTTTTTGCGGAATTAAATGAAAATAATTTTATATGAAAATTATAGATCTCGACGAGATCTACAACTTTCTAGTTTTGAGTTTTTTCATTTGAAGTCGTTAAGATGCTAAAAAAAATTAATAACATATTTAGACTTAAGGGTATTTTCGTCTTTTCACACCTGCAGTTTGACGGCGTTAGAACCCAAACTGACGGAAATGGGATGGAGGACACGAAAAAGTTGAAGTAGTAACGCTGAAGACCGCTGAATTTTTTTAAAAATACACAGAGCATTACGATCTTTTATAATGGCACACGGAGAATTCCTCCTTAGATCAGTGATCGATGCTCGGCCAGGTTTTAAACTCAAACAACCTCACATGTTTTCTTCTGCCATCTAGACATCTAGTTCTACATCTACTAGCAAATGGTACCTATTTAGTTCGACAAATATATAGCATGTTCGCTTAGTCGTATTTGGCTTATAAGTTATGACTTATTGGTCAACGAACAATTTTTTTTCTCACATCGAATCAGCCAACAGTACTTTCAGCCATGGCTTATAAGCTAATCAAGCCCAAACGAACAGGGCGTATAATGTTTTATGTAAAATTAATTAAGTCAGACTTATAACATACTTTAATAGAGCACTGTTCTACAGCTACTTTTTTTTAACAGAGGAAGTACGTACCTCGTTGCATAGTCATCATGATTTGCATCTCATAGATTTTATTCAACAATTGTGCCATATGTTCTACTTTTTAAAATTGAACTCCGTATTGTCGATGAATGTGTTTTAGAATTGACTCCATCGTTTGACGCTCATTATTCTAACGCATATAAAGACAGTCTATTGTTCTAACTCATACTAAGATGGATTGTGAATAGTAAGAGCACTTGCAAAAGAAATAGGACAAAAGAATCAGTTCACTCTTTAATACTCTCTCCATCCAAATTATAAAGTCGTTTTTTGGCATTTTTTATACACATATGTATCTAGATACATAGCAAAAGCAATGTACCTAGAAAAGCTAAAAAAAACTATAATTTAGAAATAGAGAGAGTCTTAGTTATAAATTTGACTTTTTTTTTTGTTTTTATTACCTATTTGTTTTTTCTCTTTTGTCTCATTGCTTCCATTTTCAAATGTCCCCTCGTCATCCTCAATGTTTTTAAATCTCTTGCTACGTTATTTAGTAGATGGCCTCTAAAAACACTTAGTAGCTTGACCTATCTACTGCTATAATTGGAGATTTAAAAACCTTAATCGTGCTTCCATCCAACAACTTTTTTCTAGAACAATTCCATTATGAACCTAGAACATCTTTTAGTTTAAGCTATGATTTTTTCCCTTATGAGGCTATATTTTTTTTTATCAAAACATAGTATTCAATATTTTATAAATTAGCTTGGCCTTTTTGTTTCCTATGATAACGATGAAATTTTCAATTATAACTATTTAGTATAGAATATTTATTCTCTCTTACCTGTTTTTTAGAAAAAAAAAAAAGATTCAGACTATTAGTGTGGCATGTACATTGAAAGTGAATGAAAGATGATAAATATGTAACTACTATGCTGCTTTCAAAATACTAGTTACTTGGAAATGAGAATTCTTTGGTTATGTAAATAGAATTGTTTAGTTGTTCCGATCTAAAAGCTCACATAAAGTTAGAATGTAGTTTAAAAGAAAGATAGGAAACAGAATATAGGGGTGGGCCTAATTTTCCGACAAGCAAAATACCCGAGACAAGAACTGAGAATTTTGATCACTAATTCGGTTCCTCCTTCTAAGTATCCAAATTTGGTACGGTTAGTTTTGTTTTAACTCTTAGTTATTGAAAAAATAAAGTATAGAAAAAGCCATATAAGGTTGTTAACTTGTACTATGTGTGTAGCCTAATAGCTAACCAACCTTAGGCCCTACACAACGTCATAGCGGTGCCCAAAAATCACCAGATCTTTCTGGCACCACTCTTGAAGGCTCACAGCGGTAGCAAACTCCAAGCATCACTTATGGGACCCGCCAAAAATTAAACAAATAAATAAAAAAAACAGGCAGCACAGATCACCTGTCTCACGAACCGCAACATTTAATGAACTGGCATCGGTGGGCATCGGTTGCTCTGCTTGCTCCGCTCCCTGTTTTCCTGGCATCATTGAGAGCTGGCATCACTTGTTGCAACTGAGAGAGTGGTGCCAGAATCATCTCTATTGTTTTGGCCATCACTTAGGCACAACACCGTGGAGGGCCTTAGGCTAGCCCAAGAGTCCAGAGAATAAATGCATATCCTACAACAAAACTCTAACACCCTCCCTTACCCGTCCCCCTCTGCGAAGTATGAGCCACCAGCTGACACTCCTGATTCGGTGACACACCGATGCCACACTTCAATAGAGCACAGCGGCAGAAGGCGGCACCTCCCCTCCTCTCAAATCAACAACATCTAGGCACATGTAAATGATGTGAGCGAATGATGGTCTCTCCTTCTCCATGAATCGAGGTCGAGCCTCGCGTCCACTCCACCCAACCACACTAGCACACCTCACGGGCCCATCCCCTCCCAATTGTAGAATTCTAAAATTATAGGATGCATATTCTTAAAACATTCTAATTGATGTCCAAATGTGTTTTAATAACGTCCCATGACAAAATTATGAGATGCAACCAACAAGAAGGCATCATAAATTTTTATACATAATGCATTCATGCTAGCTCCATCTCATTTTTTATTGTTAAAAGCTTCTTAGAATGTGCTAATAACTTAATATATTATTTTGAATTTCTCGGCAAAATTTCATCTTTTACATTTTCCCTTTTAGGAAGAGCTAAATGCAATTTTTAGAACATTTGAGGAACACTTTCACGAGCTCTCAATCTTTTATTTGGGTTATTTTATCTAAATCTATCCCTATACTTTTTCTTGAATTTTTTAGAAGCTTAGAGATATGTTTGTTATTTAAAGATCTTATTAGTTCTTCACTAGATTTTTTTTCTCTCTCTAAAATTTTAAAAAGGATAAAACCACCTTGAAAATCACTTCTAATCCAAGCAGGATGTAATTTAATAGTTTTTATAGATGAATAAGACGTCCAATCTGATTTTAAAATATGATGAGGAGCAAAATCAGAACGAGATGATAGCTTAGGGCAGTCCCAATGGTGTATTTGACGATGATTTCTATCCTCATTAAATGACTTGTCACATAGGCAAAACGCTGACATGGCAACGTAATTAATGAAGAAAGAGAACAAAAATCATAGAAATGGTTTCTTCATGAAGAAATCAGGTCTATTCTTGACCCAATGCACCAAGAAACCATGAAATCGTTATTGGAGAGAAACCACCAGTTTCGAGGAAGCTCGTGTCGCACTTCCATTAGAAGAAGAAGATAGAGTTGGGAGAGAGAAAAAGAAAATAATTATTACTCATAGAAACTATGAGTTAGAAAGCAGTATTTTTTTAGTGCGGTATCTTATGTTATAGAAACTACTCGTTTTTTTTATTGGGAGGGCCCTTATACTTCCTCCGTTCCTAAGTCTCCAGCTTATTTGCGTTCGGCACAGTGACCAAGATGAAGCAAAGGAGCGCCGATTTGCTTTTAATCGCCGCAGTCTTCTTAATGCCGCGGCGTCCGTTCGTTTGCCCGATATGCCGCTGAAAACGCCGTTAACCCGCTCACAACGGCGCGCTCACGTACGTATCCCCGCGCGGCCGCGCTCAAGTAATTTCGCGTGCTCACGTACGTACCCCTGCGTGGCCGTGTTTTTTCGTTTGATTTTCCATTACAACAAATTTTAGCCGCCAATGCATCAAAAATTCATTGCCCACCACTCCTTTGGTTCAATTTTGCCATGGCCTATATAAATCCCCATGGACGATCGCGATCCCCAGGTAATTTCATCGAACTCTCCCTCTCGCTTCTCTCTTTCTCTGCCCCATTCATGCTAGAGAACCAAAGCAATGCCTGGATTAGGGATCGATTTAAACCTACAGCCACCCGAATCAGGCCAAATCTATCCCATAGATTGGGATGACATTACAGAGTTTGATGGCCCTGCTCATGAACTCGATTATGACATGGTGTGAGACGATGGAACAGAAGGTGCTCCTTCACTCATTTTTTCTGTTTTGCCATGTCCTCCTGGTTATGGTTTCATTCTTCCTTTTTTTCGTGCCATAGATGACGAAGATGGAGCAGATGTAGTGCAAGGTGATGGTGCAGCCTATGGAGTTCATGTTTCTTCAGACGCAGCAACAGCTGGCGTTCAGGTTCCTTCGGTGCAAGGACATGCAGCAGCATCAGATGATTAGTTTAAGCTTCTTTTCCTTTCAGTGTATGAGTGTCCAGTTCATTTCAGTTTAGATGTTGCTTCACAGAATAGTCCAGTAGAGTTCAGTTCAGTAGAATTTTTGGTTCAGTTCAGTGGAGTTTTTTTGTTCAATTCAGTAGAGTTTTTTGGTTCAGTTCAGAGATCATTTAGATTGCTTTTTGGTTCAGAGATCATTTAGATGCCTTTTTGCTTCAGTTCAGTAGAGTTTCACTGCAGGTGCATCAACAAATGGAGGTGATGCCGATGGTCTGCAAGGTGCATCAACAAATGTAGGTGATGTTTTAGGTTAGTTTGTTGTCGGACAGCTACAGTACGTGTAAAAACCGTTTTCAGTTATCTGTGCTTCAATTTTTTTAAGCTTGCTGTTTGCAGGTTCTAATGACAAGAAAAAGAAGTTCTATCCTGATGATTTAAAGATTGTCATTTACCCTGCCAAAAACTGATCCACCTAGCATGCGTTTGGTTTTGGGCCCATGCGGGTTGGGTCGGAGCCAACCCAGTTTTCTGGGTTGGAGTGAACCTAGTTCTTGTTTGGTTGCAGGGTTGGGTTAGACCCAGTTTCTTGTTTGATTGGAGGATAAAGTGGGTTGGAGTGGTTCAATCTCTTCTTTGGTTTGAGGATGCGGGTTGGACAGTGAATATGCTCACCTTCTTGGTGAGATTACCACACACATTAGCTGCCACAATTCAACACACACGTTCAACAATTCAACAATTCACCAATTCTTAATAGGAGTTGTCCGTTGAGCACACCATTTCACCAATTCAATAATTCACCAATTCTCATTTGCTCAAGGGATAAACAAACAAACAATTGACATGCTCATTTTCTTTCTGTTTATAAACACATGCAAAAAAGCCAGAAGCTTGTCCCTTGAGCACACCAATTCAACAATTCAACAAAGGCGGCAAGCAGACACACCAAATCATATATCTTGAGCAACGTTAATCAAGTTCAAGCCTTACTTACATATACCAAGTTCAAGGCAATACAAGTTACACCACGTTCAAGCCTTACACAATATAAGTTCAAGGCTTACACACTGACATAAGATTCAAGTTCTAACAAAAGAAACATCCCACACATCTAAATCACCCTTACATTCCAGGGAACTTCTCAGCGATGAACATTGTGACCCAATTTAACTTGTGCTCAAATGGCAGTTTATAGAAAGCTCTGCCAATGTGAGGATTTGCCACCAAATGAGCATAGTAGAAAGATATGTGTGCTGAATTAAAACCAGGAAGTTGGTTCAAGATGTCAAATAGGTCATCTGGCAGCTCATTATCAGGTTTAGCAACCAATTTTATGGCAGCGGCAAGGTTCTCACCTACACTTTTGAAAGCAGCAACCAGCCCATCCTCCTCCATTTCAGCTACCTTGGCCTTCTTACTTGGTCTACTAGCAGAAGATGTTGCCCCTTGAGTGCTAGGCCCATCACTTGGACCATGCCCATTAACCTCATCCCCCTCTTCTTGACTTTCAACCTCATCACCTTCCCTACCTAGAGGTGCACTTGAGTCTTTTGCAAAGTTTTCAGTAGCCATGGTATTGCCAAATATTGCCTCCATCTCTTTGTAGTGCAAGAGGGGCTTGTTCAAGAACTCAGCATCAGCCTTGTGATCCTAGACATGGAGGACAAATAAGTTAATATAATCTAACACAGGTCAATGAATCAAGAACTAAGCAAAATATGGTAAGTTTACATGGACATGGCCGTTGTAGTGCTCCTCATCTAGTGTAATCATGCAGTTTTCTTCATCAAAGAGGGCACCACTCAATTTCTTCAATCTATTTATCTTTGCATACCTTTTCTGCCAGGTTTTCAAATGATTCTTGACTTGCTCACCAGTGAACCTTGTGGTAAACTTCTCATTGATAGCCCTAGCACAACCATTGAAAAGGTGTTTCTTAAAGCCCTTTGATGTCTTCAAACCATCAGCCACCAAATCATTGAGGTGAGAGAGCATTAAAGCAGACATTGCTGATGTCCACGTAGCATGCCCATTAGTTCCCCCACGCCCTTCAGCTACTTCCTCCATTGTTCTACCACACAGAAACACAATCAGCAAAAGTAGCAGTACAAAATTAGCACCAAGATGTAGCCAAAATGGACATTAGTATCATTACAAAATCAGCACCAAGATGTAGCTGAAATGGACATTATCACCACAAATTACATAAAATTTAGCAAGCAACATGTTCATACAAATAGCTAAAATTGTTATACAACTAAAAATTGTTATACAAATAGCATGGTGACAAATACGTCCTTACAAATAGCAATACATCAGCCAAGAAAGACTTAAAGATGTTATACAACTAAAATTAGTTAACATTGTTGTTTTCTCGGTCTGCCCACATCTGATCTGCCAGCTGCTGCCTGAAATTAACCATAGCAGCATGCTCATTTGCTTGGCCAATGCGTGTGGAAGCATGGTTGTAGCTTGGCCAATTAGTATCCTCTGTGAGGAACTCATCACGCCCATCTTGTATGACCCAATTGTGAATAATGCAGCAAGCACAAACAATATCTACTTGTGTTGGAAAAGGGAAGAATGGAGTAGCATCATCAAGAATTTTGAATCTCCTCTTTAGTGCCCAAATGCCCGCTCTACTGTGACACGTAGTGATGAGTGCCTAAGGTTGAACAATTCCTTCTCATTTTGCACTGGATTACTTCCCCATTCGTTTAAGTGGTACCGAACTCCACGAAAGGGGGGCAAAAATCCTGGTTTGGCTCTGTAACACCCCGGTGTTATGCCTACATTTAGGCACTGCAAATCATGCATATCATGCATCATCAAGCATCCTAATCATACATGCATAATCTTGCATATAATAACTGAAACATTACTTCGAAACATACGAAATATGTTTGTGAAACGTAAATGATGCATACATTTATTAGAGTTGTTTTGCTCTGATTCTTGCTTGCTAGGTTAGTAGAACATGTTTGGCTGCTATTGTAAATCATCTAGCAATGTTTAGTTCAATTTTTGGAGCAATGTGTGTATTCAAATTAATTCAAAATTTGGCTTCAAAAATAAATTCCAAAAATTAGGGTTTTGAGCTAAACGTGAACTTTGATCTTTCAATTCAAAATCTAGAAAGAATTTGGCTGTGGTCCTAAAAGCAAAGTTGTAGAGAATTAAATTCTAAGCAACTTTCATTTTTGGTACATTTTCAAAAGAGGTCATCTTCTTACTCAAAATAAGATTTGAAAGCTGGCTTTTAAAAAGTTCTTGAAAATATAAATGAAAAAGAGTTTTTTTTTGCTTTGGGCCGCCGCTTTCTTCGCCCCACCCATAAAGCCGGCCCAAAGAAAGCCCAGCGCGCCTCTCGCCTCGGCCCAGCCCAGCCTCCACACACACCACCTGCCTCATGCATCACGCCCATCCCCCTCTTTCATTCATGGCACGCCACGCCGCGACCATGGCGAAAATTCCGCCAGCGCGACGACCCAGCCGTCGTCGCCCGCCATGCGTCATGCCATGACGACACCGCGCCCACGCGCCCGCCTTCACCTGTTGGTGGTGCCGTCGCTCGCTCGCTCCTCCCGCCCGCTTGCCTTCCTTCCTCCCTCGGCCGAGAGCCTCAAGCTCGCCCTCGCCACATACGCACCCGCCGGCGTGATTCACGCCGGTGCTCCTCCACGACCAGCAATCAAGCACCAGCATCTCCGCCTCGCTCTCCGGCACTGGTGCTCGTGGTTGTGCTGTCGTTTGAGCCGAGGTAGCGCTTTTTCCAAGCTTCGCCGCCGTCGTCCATGGCGCCGCCGTGCTCGGCCGCCGTGGAGCGCCCTCTTCCTCCCCTTCTCAGTCGTGCTTAGCTGCCTGCTCGTTTTCGCCATGGCCTCGCGAACCTCCTGCGCTCGCTTGCTTGCGCTGCCGTGGCCGGAGATGGCCGCCGGCCTCGTGGCCGAGCCGCGCCGTCGCGCCGTACATGCAGCATGTACAAGACCATGAGCCTCTGCTTCGACCACCAAAGGCCGGCCAGCCGAACCAAGCGGCCAGATGGGTCAAGCTGTTGCCGCAACCAGCATTGCTCCTCCTCGCGCTTGGGCCGCGCGGGCCAGATGCGGCCATGGGCCAGCTGTTCCCTTCGGGCCGGCCCAGCAGTGTTTTAAATGAATTGTTTTCAATTTATTCATTAACAGAAATGGTTTGCAAAATAATTGGATACTCAAAGTTGCTCCAAATTTGTTGAAACAAATTTTTCTAGGTTCCTTATCATCAGATCTACTTGGGAAAAATTGTGCATGTCATTTTTGAGATACTTTTCTATAGGATTTTATTTAATCTTGAATATTGCTGATAACTTGAAAAATATGTAGAAAAATATATAGGCTTCAGAAAAATATGATTCCAAGTTTGTTAATCTTCTTATGTCATGTACTTCCTAGGAAAAATATGTTTCATGCATGTGCTGTGGGAAAAATTTTGAGGTGTAGTTCAAGTACCTTAGATGGCTGATTTTTTGTTATTTTTGCTAGAGAGCAAAATTTGTATAAAACATGCATGTGGTAATTTTTGTACAGTCATTATATACCATGAAGAACCTAGGAAAATATTAATTCTGTTGTTTGACACTTTTCATAGTACAAAGTAATTTCATGCTCATTTTTATGCTATAGCTTGTCATTTTTGTGTAGGATAGTTTACTTATCCAAATGCCATGAAATTTTTATGGTAGTCTGTTTAGGGTAGTATTATGCTACTGTAATTTTCTCAGATTTTTAGGAGCATCAGAAATATAGGTTGCTATTCAAACCTATTATTAATTAGGGTTTAAGCAAGTGTTGCCTTAAGTGTGATTAAGAAATTAGTAAAGCTTTGGTGTATCTTTGAAGCATTTAATAAAATATGTTGACTTAACATATTGGTAGTAGAAGAGAATGCAGTAGATGACATGTGCTTGTAGCATAGTTTCTTGGATGATGTTGTCTACCTTGCCTTTCGACATATTCATTGCATTCATCTCCTTCGATGCACCGATTGCATAGGCACTTACACGCATTGCATCATACAGGATCGCAAACCGAGAGCCCAAATGTCATTCCCGAGGAGCCCGAGGAGCGATTCGAGGTGCAGCGGCGAGGAAGTGCCGTAAGTCGACGAGGAGGGCGTTGAAGAACTTCCTGAGTGCCCCGATCACCGTCCCGAGCTCCTTGAGAGAGCAAGCCCCGAGCATCTTTCTCCCGGTTTGCAATGATTTCGTTAAATGCTTTACTTTAAATTGATGCATTACATTCAGGAGTTGTTTGCAACCGTTGCTTGCATTATACCTTGTTTACCTTTGTTATACTATATCCTTGTTACCACAGTATCCGCAATCAGTCAATGCTTAGTTTGGCTTAGACCGGTAGAAGTCGGGTGATTTCACATCACCGCGAGCTATAGGTGGTTACCTGGATCTGTTTGGATGGCTAGGAAGTCATGGTATAACTAAGTGTTAAATGAAGTTGAGACCGAGGCGGAGACTTGCGGGGTTTTGGACCGTAGTGTTTCCGTCTGTGGTCGATTAAGAACCGACCGTTGTTGGGCCTCGAGTCATGTTGAACGCATGCCTTACATTTAGCTGGCCGGATAAAGTACCTTCCGACCATGAAAGCTGGGATTTTTTCGGCCGAGTAGATTGCCCAGCAGCCTTGACTGTGCAAGCAGTGTGGTAGGACACGGGGCGGGATGATAAGACCAAAGTGCGATCGGTCGGCCGGCCCCGGGTACATGTGGTTCTGGCAAACTCGAGATACACCGAAAGTTGACTCGGTGATCAATATCTCACTTTAGCGGGTGAGTGAGATTTGTGTAAGGAATAAATCACCACCGTGGTTAGGAATCGATTCGAATCGCCATCGCTCCCGGATAGTGAGCACTTGACTTGAGTTACTTCATCGTAGTAAATGTTTATGGAACACTTGGACAGTTATAGTGAATATGACAAGTATGGAAGTTGTTTAATGATCGATGGTTATCATTAATTGCTTAATCACATGTTTACTCTAGTATAGGTGCAAATCTAGTCGACAGGTTAATAATAATTAACTTGGCAATAATGCTTTTAGAAAGGTTCTTGAAATGCTAAAAATGCTTCTTTTTGCAAATGAGTCAGCTACCCTACTATAATGCCTGCATAATCCTTGGTGTCATTTATTTTCGGTTATGTCGGGTAAAATCTGGTGAGTACATTCTCGTACTCGGGTTTTATTCCCACTTGTTGCGAGATGGGCGGATGTACTATGGCTATTGTATCAACCGCCAGTATCCTGCGATGGGTGATGCTTAGGACCATGGGCATGGTCATTCCTTACGTCTCGTCTAATGCTTTTGTTGGAGATGATCATCACCGGCACTATATTTGAACTACGTGTGAGTGTGTGTGGTTTTAAACAAATAACTTCCGCTACTTTTATTCGAACTTGTTTTGTAATAACTATGTTTAAACTCGATGTATCTCATTATGGAAACTTTTATGTAATATGTGATTGGTGACCGCTAAACTTATTACGATCATGGTCTGGGACACGAGTTGGTTTGAAATCCTTCGTGATTTCACGGACTACCGGGTTATACGGGCTTAAGTTTGCTCAATCGTCTCGCTTTCTTCGGTGGATGATTTTCTTACTTAATTTCGTATAATTGGTCGGTTCTCATTACAGTGGTATCGAGCATGGTTTAGCGTATTCTTGTTCACAAGTGTATTTAAAACAAAAGGCATTTGGAAAACGTGATTTTAAAACTATAAAGTGTGCCGGTGATCATATCCTTTATGCCCGATTAAGGACTTTAGGTGGCTTAATTAAATCTTGACTTGGGGTTCTTGCATCATATTTTTCTTTAAATCGCTCATACGGCGTGCTATTGTATGAGTGCCACTTGTTTGAGTGGTAATGAATGGATCATTTGCCTCTACGCCTCGGTAAGTGTGAGTTGTGAGAGCATGATCGGATACACCGCCGATCTAGGGTGAATGCTTATATGATGTTTGGAGTAATTACATGTTCTCGCATGTTTTACAAAGGTATCTCATGTATGGGTCT